AGCATACATGATTATAAACAATACAGAACTAAATCAGAATGTCTTTTCCTTTAGAAGAAAACTAAAATGTTTCCTTACTCTCTAGAACTCAAACTAGCTAATGGATCTGAAAATTCAGTTTGATTAATCTGGTCTAAACTAATTGGACCTGACTGTCTCAGTTCTAAAGCTGAGGAATGCTTTGAACAAAAAGTTAAAAGTAAACCAAAAAGAACGGTCTTTTTAATTTCTTGGCAAAAACCAGGGAGTGAATATAGCAAATATGCTTTGAGGAAGAATCTTTGCTTGGATGGCAAATTCAGTACACAACGAGTCTGAGTGTTGCCTATGATGTTCAAATATAGCTATAAATAAAAATCATCTGATGATGGGGGAGGGGTAGGAAGAAGACAGCCGTGAGCAAATGGCTTCATAATGGGCACTCGTAGCCAAGGTATAAAAATTGACGTTAAACATGGAGAAGGAATGAGATGTGTCTTATTTGTCAGCAATTCTCTTGGCCTTATGTTGGGTTTATTTTGTTGTTGTTCCTGCCAGTTCCCTGACTTCTAAACTTACTGAGACAGAAAGTAGAGCCACGTAGGTGAGAAATGGCTCTAGAGTCAGTGGGATGGACCTGGTTTAAATTCCGCTTCTGCAACTGCCTAGCTGTGTGAAATCTGGCAAGTTACCTAACTTTTCTGAGTCTCAGTTTTCTCATCTATAAAATGGGGATAATTGTAATAGCCAAATAATAGAGTTCTCCTGAGAATTAAATGAAATTATGAATGTAAAACACCAAACAGTATATAATAAATGTCCAGTAAGTATTAGATATTATTATTATTATTGTTGTTGTTGTTGTTATTATTATTATTTCTAAGTGGTCTCTGATCCTAAATATCCTCTAATGCCAGTTGGAGCCCATCAATACCTGCTGTGAAATACATAGTGGTCTTTGGAAATAGAATATAACTGTATCTAAAACATCATATAGACACAAAGCCATTTGATGAAGTGGGGATGGGGGAGGAAATTCAAGGAAAGAGAGGGAGAGATGGAACAAAAAGAACACCCCCTCTCTTCCCTTGCCATCAAGAAAACATTCAGAAGCCTTGTGTAGAGAGAAAGTCACTTAGGAATAAGTCCAAGAATTAATACAGTGGGTCAGTCTTATGCTCCTGTTGGCTCAGAATCTTATATCTGAAAAGGGTGACTTATCTGATAACATGCTCTTTGCACCAAGGCCTTCTATGCCCCTGAAGCCCCAAAATAAAGACCCGGTTATTTAACATCTTAGTGGCTCTACCCATGAGAAGCCTACCAGGCTCTGGCCAACTGGGCCTGCCCAACACCGGATTTCTGCACTCAAGATATGCAATGATGCTTGCAAATCATTAGTATCTATCCCTGTTCCTCTCCTTTGTGGTTGTCAGAAAAAATAAACTTATATTGCCCTTTCACCTGAAATTAGAATTTTATAGATATGGCAAAGACTTTGTGGCCAGGAACTTTGCCACAGATATAATACAGCTCTTTCTCCCAGCTATTGCAGTTTGGCTAAATAAAAAAAGAGAGAGAGAGATGACCACATCCCTTGGTAATGTCCATGATGTCCAGATACCATTCTCAGTTACAGCAGAAATGTTTTCCTCTGTTACAGAAAAAAAATCTCTGAAATGGAATGCAAAGTTTATCACTCCAGAACACTGGGTAAACCTTAGGAATACTGTCACCAACTTTGCAGCTATTAAAAATCTTACCACAGAAGTATGTTTATTGACATAGGACACTATTTTCAATATATTAAGTGAAAAAAGTACCTTATAAAACAGCATATATGATATAACCCTAATTTTATTAAATATATATTATAAATATATGCTAATAAGAGACTTTAGAAAGATACAGTGAGGTATTAACAGCAGTTGCATCTGGTGAGTGTTTTTTATTTTCTTCTTTTTACTTACTTGATTCTTCTATAATGAAAACATATTGTTTTCATAATTGTGAAAAGAAAATCTTCATAATATCTGAGTAAACATGACAAGGCACTTCTTAGAGGAATCACAGGCCCAAAGAACATGTAGCCAATAGTTCTGTTAAATAGTCCACTATGGGGGCCGGCCCAGTGGCATAGTGGTTAAGTTTGTGCACTCCGCTTTGGTGGCCTGGGGTTTTTGGGTTCAGATCCCAGGCGTGGACCTACACACAGCTCATCAAGCTATGCTGTGGTGGCGTCCCACATACAAAATAGAGGAAGATGGGCACAGATCTTAGCTCAGGGCCAATTTTCCTCAAGCAAAAAGAGGAAGATTGGCAACAGTTGTTAACTCAGGGCCAATCTTCCTTAGACACACACACACAATTCCACTATGCCCTAGAATATTACTCAAGGGCCCCCACTTTCCTCTGAAAAGAAGTCTCACCTCTCCTGTGGCCTTCTCACATGGCCTTCTCACCTAGCATTTCAATATGGCCTTTTCTCCTGCCTTCCATCTCAGTAAAAGCTCTTCCCCTCAGCTCAGCTGGCCCCCTCACTCTCCCAGACCAATGCCATACTCATCCATTCCATTCCTACTTTCACCTCTCAGCCTGTCACTGCTCAGCCTGTCACTGCTCCCCAGATAGCCCCTTGTACCTATATGAACCCTACTTGTCATTCAAGACCAGTTCAAGCCCCACACCCTCTGAAGAGTCTTCTCTGATGACTCTAGGTCTCTCTTGATTGAGAGTGCCTAGAAGACTAGCAGGAGACCCCCAGAGTCTGGTGGAACAGCACAGAGAACTGGCACCCATCAGAGCAGAAGGGTGTGAATGGAGACTTGTTGGTGAGCTCATGTGAGGTGTTCCCTAAAGACGCCCAGAACAATGCGGAGGAGAGGGGTATTTTGCAGAGGGCCAGAGGGAAAATCTATTTACATTTTATTCTTTATTTTCCAGAGTAACCACTTCACCAGTCCTCTAGCTTGACTCCAGGCAAGATTCAGAAATCAGATTCCCCAAAGCAGGTGAATTTGCAAGCATAGAAGCATCTAAGTAGTGCCTTTAAATTCATTTGCAAACACAGAAAGATAGGGCCATTCTGCTCTCCTGTCTGATGGACAGAAACAGACTTCCTCCTCACAGGAGTGTTTGTTCCCTAAGCAGTTAGAGGGAACACCAGGCAGGGAGAGCTCTCAATTACCAGGTACTTATGTACTCATCTTTAAATTCTGATTGTGGTGGATGGTAATGGAGTTGGGTCCGCAAACAAAAGAAGGAACAACGAGTGTGTGCAGAAAAGAGAAAACTGATGGGTAATTTAGTGCCTACAGGTTGATGGTTGGTTCTTAGAGGAAGGATGCTAATCAGTTTTCTCCATCTTTGGAGGAACAAGCAAGAGGAAATGAGGTTCTGTCAAGTAGCAATGATTATAAGGCCTGCATTTATTAAGCACTTACTATGTGTCAGGTACTCTTCTAAGTGCTTTACATATGTTATATCATTTATTTCTCACTACTTATGAGGCAGGTACTATTATTATCCTCATTTTACAGATGATGAAACTGAGGCACAAAGGGATTAAGTAACTTGTCTAAAGTAAAAGTAAAATAACTAGTTAGTAGAGGAGCTGAGGTTCAAATGTAGACAGTCTGGCTTCAGCGCCCAAACTCTTAACCACTGGAGAGCATTTAGCATCAGATTACAAGTGATTTTCATGAAAGGAAGATCTTGACCATTGGACCATCTGACACTTTCAATGCCAGCAATCTCCAAGGATAGAGCAATAACTGGTGTCCTTAAAGGTTGCAGCTTAGTAAGCGACCTGTGTGGTCCAGCCCACCCCATCATCCTACTCCCTAAATGCATGCATCCCATCCCCTCCTCCACTGTCTTCACCTTGTACCATACCCTCTTGCTCTCTTTCTCTGGATGTAACCTCTTTCTTTTTCTTTTCTTTCTTCCTCTCCTACTCCTCCATTTGTCCTGCCTACTGGGATAACCCATAGGCACGGTTTGGCTCCTCTTTTGGCACTCAGAATCAAAAAGCCTGCTGGTCCCTGGGCTACACCTTCCCAAGCCACTTTCTTTGGGAATGAGATCCTTCCCAATCCGTAGGCTGAGCACACACAGCCTAGGAAGCAATGAGAAGAAAACAAGACCAAACAATTCTGAAAATGAACTGCCCTGCTCTCCCCCGATGTCAGGGAATATCGGTTGCCCTGATTGGTTTGTCTTGCCTTTAAATCAAGTAAACAGCACAATGTGGACAGCACTCTCTTCCTCCCAGCAACCAGTTGTAGTGTAAGGAAAAAAGAGCTGGGCTCATTCTCACTTCTGCCACCAACACTCTGTATGATTTTGAGCACATCCTTTCCCATCAGTTTCCCCATCCAACAATGTAGAAACTGGACTATATTGGGGAGTTCTCAAATTAGGATTCATGGGTAGATTCAGGGGGATCCATCAACTCCCAAAGGATAATGTATAGGAATGTTTTTATTGAAATTTTTAATGAGATAGTTTTAGATTTGCATGCAGTTGTAAGAAATAACACAGAGAGATCCCAGTTTCCCAAGGGTAACATCTTGCAATACTATAGTACAATATCACAACTACAATATTGATATTGATACAATCCACCTATCTTATTCAGATTTCTCCAGTTTTACAGGCACTCATTTGTAAGTGTTGGGGGGTGTGTGTGTGTATTTACTACTATACAATTGGGAATTTTCTTTTGCATGTGCTTTTTTCTGGGGAAAGGTTCTTAGCTTTCATCAGATTCTCTCAAGAATCAGAGATGCAAAAAGGGGTTTGATTCCCAGCTCTGGGAATTCTAAAAGACCACATACCAATCCTCTATAGCTCTCTGATCCAACAGCAACATTTAATTATCACTTACCACATGGCAGGTATAGGGATGCATGTGGGGGAGAGGTGATGAGAAGAGATGCAGGCAAAGCAGCAAAAACCCAAAGGTGCATAAAACACAGTCCAGTGATCTTATGCTCCAGCAGGGAAAGACAGACAGTCCAACAGATAAACACATCATTTATTAAACATGTACAGAAGAGGGATGGCCTTGTTGCTTGGGGTAGCCTGGGAAGTATTTCCGCAGAAGCTGATGCTTGAGCTACATCTTGAAGGATAATCCAGAATTCTTCAGCTGAGGAGAGAACAACCAACTGTTAAATCATTCCTTCTTAAATCATATCTATTCTAGATGTTTTGAAGAAAACATGCCTACATTTGTTTGTTCTGCAACGTTAAGGTGTCAAATTCTTCAACTCCTGTGTGTTAGTGTTTAGGCCAAGGGATTTTTTCCCCCTGAGTCTACTTTCCACTGTCTTGTCCAAATTGGATACCAGATCCTGCCTGCTTAGCTTGAGAAAGGCATTTTATCTCTGGTACCTTGATCACATCAGAGCTTATATTTAAAACATGAGTGATGAGAAGAGACCGCAGCTAAGTCCCCGGCTCTGTCCCATCCCTAGGGCACCCTCCTCTTCTCCACTGAAGGCTCTGGATGCCAATCCTACAGTGGCTGGTGGAGTCAGAGCTGGCTAGAGCCGTGAGTAAAACATCTCTGCTCTCCAATCGATTCTCCAATCACCAGGATCTCCTTTTCCACAATGACTCATCAGGAACCCTCAGGGGCTAGGCACCCTGGCCCCCCCATATCTGCCCTCCCCATATTCAAGGGTTGGCTGCCTTGTGTGGGCTCTGGCTCTGACACCCCTTGGGGGCCTCTTTTCTCTGTGTGGATTGCAGGTTCCACATCAGGCTGTTCAGTTCCCAGTACTATTCTCAAGGAGATCATTCTCTCTGGTGCAGCCATCCTTGCATTAGGGAGAACAAGACCCTACTATCGGGCCTACCCTTTGAAGAGCCTCCTAGAAGCTCAATTCAAGACATGCAAGTCTTGTCCTCATGCAAGTTATTTAACCCTCTAAACCTCAGTATCTTCATCTGTAAGATGGGGATCATAATAGTACCATCCTCATAGAGTTATTTTAAACTTTAAATAAGTTAATTCATGTAAAGCTCTTAGCTCATAACAAGTACTCCATCTACATTAGCTATTATTATTAACATCTATTTTTATAATAAAATTATTTCTGATTATAAAAGAATTAATGGTCACTATAGAAAATTTGCAAACTACTGACAAGTTTAAGGAAGAAACAATCATAACATCCAGGGATGGCTGCTATAATCATTTTGATGTATAGTCTTCCCGGCTTTTTGTGTGTGTGCATATATATACTTACAGGAAATAAAAAACTGGGTTTGTATTGTGTATGTCTAGTCTATAACCTGTTTTATTCCACTGATATATCATGAGTATTTTCCCATAAACTTAAATGCTGTTAGAAAATATTTTTAAAAGACTACCTAGTTTTCAAGCATATCAATGTAACTCAATTTATGTAATTAATCCCTTAGTTTGGCACTTAGATTGTTTCCTATTTTTATATGTATAAATACCATGATAAATGTCCTTGTTCATAAATTTTTGTACGCATCTCTGTTTATTCCTTTAGATAAATGCTTAGTGGTGGACTGACTGCGCCAAAGGCTATACACCCCATTTTTGTTTTGTTTTAATGTCAGGTACACAGAATTGGATTAACCATAATCCTTGGTTCATGACACCTCTCATAATTGGTATTGGATGGCCTGTTTTTGTTAATGTAGGTGGTAATTCAGTAGTTTTAATAATGTAATCAGTACCTATGTATCCACAACCTGAAACAAAAGCTAGGACCTCAACAATAACCAGTATTTAACCATAAGGCCTTGCACCCCAGCTCCCTGTGATCCCCACCCAAGGGAACCATCCTGAATCGTATGTCATTTCCTTGCTTTTCTTTTTATGAAGTATTACTGTATCTGTATATTTTCCTAAGGAGTAATTTTTAAAAACTGTTCTTACCTTTATAAAAAGGATATCATGCTGTATGTAATCTTTCAGGACTTGTTTTTTTTACTTAATATTACTTTGCAATCATTGCATTTCACTGTAGTAATTTTGACTGGTGTAAAATACCCCACTGTGTAAATATACCATGGTTTATCATCCACTCCCCCACTGATGGGCAAGTGCATTGTTTCTAGGATTTAGCTCTTGTTCACACTGCCACTATGAACATTACTATAAATATCTCCTGTTGTACATGTACAAGAGTTTGTCTAGGGAGCCAGTTTATGCTCCCACCAGCCGTAGATGAGAGATCCTCTGGATCCACATCCTCTGGATCCACATTCTCTGGTAAACCATGGATCCATGTTGTCAGGTTGCTCTCCAGATGGTTGGATCCGTCTACTTCCCTCCAGCAATGTATGAGAATGCCAATTTCCCCAAACTCTTTCCCACCCTAGGAATCATTTAAAATTTTTGACCATTTGATAGGAAAAGATAATATCTCCCTGCTGTTTAACTTTGTGGCAAGGTACTGACTTCTCTAAAAGCTGAGAGAGAAAGAGTTTTGCTCAGAGAATTGTTCTCAGTCTGATAACTTCGGTGACATTTCTGGGACTGATTCCCCAGGGGCTCAGCTGCTTTCCCATGTCCTAAAAGAGGTGATATGGTTGAAGGAGGCAGTGAGGGGGGCCAGGATGGGAAACAAGCCCAACTCATCACAGTGTAAGCTTGTCTCCTGGTTCCAGCCCCTGCAAGTGTCAGATCACTCCTTCTCCTTGATGAAGCAGGCATTCTCTCTCCCCTACCCTAGAAAAGCCAGTATAATGCTACCCTTTGTTATTTGAATTGATAAATTTAAACCTCTTTCCCTGCTCTGCAGTAAAGGAACTTTCTATTTTGGGCTTAGTCACATAGATAAAACCAAGCAGAGAGCAGCAGGCTGCAGCATGAGTTAATAGTCTTTCTTCAAGGGAGAGAACCTACAAACAAATAGAAGGACCTTCCAAAAGACATTGTCTGCATAGCAACATGCAGCCTATTTGCCTGTCTTTCTGCTGACAGATATGTTTCAAGGTTCAAAATTGAACACTACCTAACCTTCAGAGTAAGCTGATGAATTAATCCTGAACAATCAGGTTTCTTAATTCAAATCAATTCATCAGGAATTTATGGATGCCCTTCTGTGTACCTAGTGCTGGACTAGGTATTGTCAGGGAAGACAATTCTATCTTGAAGGGGAATTCTAGCCACCAAAAATTATACTGACTTGAGGAGTGTCTAAAATATTTGCCTAAGAATATGCTTTCCTCTGCTAGTCCATTTCTTTGCCTGAAGTCTCAAGAAGCCTCCAGGAATGATTAGGCACATGTGTGTGGTGATGGACTGTAATTAGTATTTGGGTGCTGAACATGATGTAATCTATGCAGAAATAGAAGTAGAATGATGTACACCTGAAATTTACACAATGTTATAAACCAATGTTACTGCAATAAAAAAAAAAAAGCCTCCAGGAGTACATAAAGGTCATGTTTATAAGAGGAGCAATCTATTTAAACCATTGGCACCTGTTAGCACATACCTACGGCCTGGAAGAATGGGACAGAGAACAAGTAAGTCACTCTACCCTCTCTTTTGTCAAACTTTTTATTATGGGAAGTTTCAAATATGCACAAAAGTAGAGATAATAATATAATAAACCTCCATGTACCTATCACCTGGCTTCAACAATTATCAACATATGGCAATCTCATTTTATCTGTATCCCATCCTTCCCTCATCTCCATTTTAAACCCAATTTAAAGCATATCACAGATACTTTCATATTTAAATACTTCTGTATGTATCTGTAAGAAATAAGGACTCTTTTTTCAATAACCACTATATCACATCTTAAAAAGTAACAATAATTCCTTAATATCATCTAATATCCAGTCAGAAGTCAAATTGCCCTGATTTTCCTAAGCGTCTTTCTGTAATGGTTTATTCTAATCAGGAGCCAAACAATGTCATTTGTACTTGTTGATAAATCTCTTCTGTCTCTTTTAGTTTATAATTTAAAATTTTTTAAATTTATAACAGTTTCTCCTCCTTTTTTTATTGCTCTACTTTTTGGTGGTGTTGAGGATAATGGGTCTTTTAGTTACTATTGCTGTGTAACAAACTACCCCACTAAGTGGCATAAAACAAGCCCCACTTTATTATGTTCATGGATTCCATGTGTCAGGAACTCAAAAAGGGCATAGTGGGGATGGCTTCTCTCTCATCGAATGTGTCTGGGGCCTCAGCTGAGAAGATTCAAAGTCTGTGATGACTTCACAGCTGGGAGCTACACGCATCTAAGACTTGTTTACTTACATGTCTGGTGCCTGGAGCACTCAAAAACTAGGACTGCTGAACAGAGCAGCTACACACGGCCTCTCCACGGCTTCCTCACGGCATGGCGGTCTCAGGATAGTCAGACTTCTTACACAGCAGCTTAGGGCTCCAAGCACAAGTGTTCTAGCTAACAAGGTGGATGCTATATCACTTTTTATGACCTAACCTCAGATATTATATTGTCATTTTTGCTGTGTTCTGTTGGTTGCAAGCAATTCACAAGCTCACCCAGACTCAAGGAGAATGGAATCAGACTCTGCCTTTACACGGGCAGGGGCAAAGTTTCAGAAGAGCATTTGGGATGGGAGATAACTGTTGTTCCACTTGGTGACTGGGATGGTCAGTCAAGCCTGCCTTTCCTACAGCACCCAGGAAAGACACTGCAAACAATGGAAACCCGGTGGAAGAGAGAAAGGGAGGAGTTTATTTGTTTGCAGGGCCACATCCTACAGTTGTGTTGATTGTGCCCTGAACGATCAAGGGGGTGAGTGGGGCTGAAACTCAGCTCCACTTGCCACACCTGTCCCTGACTGTGGGGCTGAGTCGCCAGGAGGAAGAGGCACCTTTTCTAATACACATAAGATTCCATATGGGGAAGAGGTGTCCCTGAATGGATGGTAAAAAGTCATTCAATCTAACTTACACTTATTGAACACATGCTACTTTAAGAGAATATTAAGTCTTTTTTTGGTTTAAGCTGCACACACAGTTGGCCAAGAAATATCTCAAAATGGTGCTTAGTTAACTTAAATATACTTCTAAAATGGTGCAAGTTTTTAGCACCAGGTACTTTTTGATTGCATTGGTCTAGAGTGTTCTAGATATATCTTTAGAGAAGCCAAGACACTGTGTCTCAATGACAAAGG